GGGGGGTTGTTACCGAATTTGCACATATTTCGAAATAAGTGAACCTAATTAAACTTTAATTTTCATAATATTTTTTCATTTACCTTTAAATTTTGTTATATGTTATTAACTAAACCTGATTACAAAGATACTACATCACTTTTTAGGATGCAAGCCTCTTTTTCTGAAGTACTACTGTATAGGGTTAGGGAGTGCACAAAAATGGCTAGGGCTAGAAGGGCCTTCCACGCCACGCAATTCATCTTGGGTCTTCTTTTGGGAATAGATCAGTTTATTCTAAAATGCTGTTTTCTTATCAGCTTACGATGGTTGAGCTTAGATTAGTTTTTCCTAAAATGATATTTTCTTATTTATGATGGTTTAGTTGTAATGAGCAACTAAGGGTTAAGACTGAGTTTTATGCTCTGTTCTATGACAATAGACTTACTTTACTTTACTTTTCCGATCCAGCAGCCATTTAGGTTCTAGCCCTTCGGTCTGTATGACAATAGACAAAGTATGAACTAAAGTCAGGGGTGGTTGGAGTGAGGTGCCTTTGGTAGGTCATATTTCTTTTCTTTCTCTCTGTTGTTTCATTCTGACAGTCTTGCTCCCCCCCCCCTCCCCGGCACTAAATGATTGTGTTTGTGTGAATGTTATTCTCTTTACTCAAACAAGTCAGCTTTTTAAAAAGTAATGTATGTTTTATTTATATCTTGCCCCTGTAACTCAGATTTACAAATGGAGATAAATTATGGCCAGTAAAATTTTTTTGTTTTTTTTGTTTGTCGAATAAGATTTATACTTAAATCAAAACAGGAATTGACAATGACAATGACAATGACAATGACAATGACAATCTTTATTCATCTCGCAGGGAGAAATTTGTCTTGGTCGTTGACAATGGCAGTAGACAGAATAAAAAATCCCTACAAATGAATAGGTCTTTCTTCTTGTCCCATTTGTGTAAAACCATCTTTTCATCTGACATTTCAGGAAGCCTCTAGGTAGGCAACAGGGGTGGTGGGTTGATGGTTATTCGCTTCGCTTTGCATTCAAAAGAAATTCGGGGAATTTCCACACAGAGGAAGGTATTAATTTCATCAAGTGCATCTCCATCTTTCTGATGGGATATATTGCTTCTCTCACAGTGCAGGTTGACCTTTATGATCAGAATAAAGTAGGTTTGCACAGAGAACCAATAAATTATTCAAATAACCGAGTATTAGGTAAATTTTAGTGAAATAAGTCTGCCCTCTATGATGCAAAGAGTGTTGATGGGATTAGAAAAATTTAGCTATGATTACAATTTAATTGCTCTCCAGGCAGCGGAATCGGTCGTCTCATGAGTCTGAAATTTGCCGAAATGGGCTGTCGTTTGGTCATCTGGGACATCAATGAGGAGGGGAACCTGGAGACAGCGCGACAGATAGAGGCCAAGGGGTCGAAGGTCAAGGCTTATACTGTTGACCTGTCCAACAAGGAGTCCATTTATGAGACGGCAGCGAAGGTAACGCTTGTGTTTGTGTATATATATATATATTGAGAGAGATGTGATATAGAGGTTTTGTGTGTGTGTGTGTGTGTGTGTGTGTGTGTGTGTGTGTGTGTGTGTGTGTGCCTTTGCGTAGTTATGTAGACAATTGTATATTTACACACTCACGTTATGTAGACATGCCCCGTTATGTAGACGTCCACATAATGTTTTAAGGTCACCATCGTATTTCCCGCCAAAAATTACATCATGTGTTAAAATATTTTTGAATTTGGTTCCGGTCCGAATAACGCTGTTATTTCGTTATTTCTATACACAACGCTATACACACTTCGAGTGTGTGCAGAAATTTTGGTGTCCACATAACGACAGTAGCTTTCTGATTTGTGTGTCGCCGGGTGTGTGTGTGAGACCGCACGTGGCGGATCCATCTAGGAGTTGGAATCCAGAAGCTTGCTCTGCTGTACATCATGGAGCAACGCTCTGCAGTTAGTTTAATAAGAGTTTTACGGCGCTCGCAACTTCGTAAAGTCACATACACGAACGAAACACAAGTTGATTGCATTCACAACAGCTCAAAGCAGGGCTTTATTTTACTTTTAAAGTAAAGGAAAACATCTCATGGTTTTAAAAAATCTTGTTTTAAAAAGATTAGTAAATAAAAACAACAGTTTACATTTAAAAAAAAAAAATTATCTACATTTTAGAATACAGACTAATGGCTCTTATAGATTTGAGAATTCTATTTGGATCGACGACGGAGAACAGACCTTTTAATTTTGTGTATTTAAAATAGTTACTTCGGGTCTCTCCAAAGTCGGACATTTTAACATTCTAATGTGTCTAATGGTGAAGTCTGTATCGCATCTGACACAGAGCGGTTTCTCATCTCAACGCAGGAGATATCCATGGGTCACGGAAGCATATATCTAAATACGTAAACGAGTAAAAACTTCTTCGTCTCTTCTCGAAAGGCCAGAAGATTTTCATGGGTCCAGTTTGGACACTATGAAGCTTGTTGTTAGTTGTTTACTTTAGTTTTTTTATTTCACAGCCTGAAGATGTGGTGAAGGAAATAATTCTCAAAAGCAATTTAACTAGATTTTTTGTTTTCGGGTTTCAAATTCTTAGATTGTCTAACAGCAGCAAGAAAATGGACATCCAGGTCAAAACCAGAGGCTTGAAACAGTACGCAGCTTCAAATACCTGCGTGCAATAGTGACAGACCAAGGATCAAAACCAGAAATAATCTCCAGAATAGGGCAAACTTCAACAGCAATGACCAAGTTGAAAACCAGTTGGAAAGACAGAAATATCACCATTAGATCAAAGATCAGACTCATGCGTTCCTGGTCATGTCAGTATTTTTGTATGCGTGTGAATTCTGGACTTTGAATGAAGACCTTGAAAGAAGGATCAAAGCTGTGGAGATTATATGCTTCCGAAAAATCCTTAGTATCTCATACAAAGATCACATCACAAATGATAAAATCAAACAACGGATCAGAACTGCACTTTGGACCATACCCTGACCTCACTTTGGTCAGGAAACGCAAACGGGCAAACGGCATTGGCATAGACACATCACCAGTTCATCCGGCCTTGCCAAGATGACCTTGCAAGGCAGAGTCCAGGGAAAAAGGAGCAGAGACAGACCGAAGAAAAGTTGGAAGGACAACATCAAGGAATGGACAGACCGGGACCTCAAAGACACGCTCTGAAGAGCGGAAGGAGTGGAGGAAGCTGGTGGTCAAATCTTCAAAAGCCCGGACGACCATTCACTCTTCGGAATAGGTGAAAGTGAAGTGAAGTAGATTAGTTTTAATCCCATAGCTTGGAGATGTAGTTAAGGAAATAATTCTTAACTGCAATTTAACTATTTTCGGGTTTAAAAGTGTTAGATTGTCTAATAGCAGCAAAAACATCACAGTGGACATCCAGTCAACAATCAGAAGCTTGAGACCGTACACAGCTTCAAGTACCTGCGTGCAATAATGACAGACAAAAGATCAAAACCAGAAATACTCTCCAGAATAGGGCAAACTTCAGCAGCAATGACCAAGTTAAAAACCATTTGGAAAGACAGAAATATCACCATCAGATCAAAGAGCAGACTCATTCGTTCCCTGGTCATGTCAGTATTTTTGTATGCATGTAAATCCTGGACCTTGAATGCAGACCTTGAAAGAAGGATCAAAGCTGTGGAGATGAGATGCTTCCAAAAAGTCTTTAGTATCTCATAAAAGATCACATCACAAATGATGAAGTCGAACAACGGATCAAAAATGCAATTGGACCATACCCTGACCTTCTCACTTTGGTCAGGAAATGCAAACTGCAATGGCATAGACACGTCATCCGTTCATCCGGCCTTGCCAAGATGATCTTGCAAGGCAGCGTCCAGGGGAAAGGGAGCAGAGACAGACCGAAGAAGAGTTGGAAGGACAAAATCAAGGAACGGACAGGCCCGGACCTCAAAGACACGCTCAGGAAATCTGAAGAGCGGAAGGAGTGGAGGAAGCTGGTGGCCAAATTTTCAATAGCGCCACAACGGACATCCAGTCTACGGGATAGGTGAAGGGGAAGAGAAGAAGATTGGTGAGTGAAGTGAGGCAAGACAAGGTATCGGACAGAATGAGAAACGATAATTTGGGGGAATTTTCTACGGAGTCTAACGCTAAGTCAATAGGAGTGGCCTCCGAAGAAAAATATGGAGGCTTCGGGGTGGAGCATTTTTGCTGCTTTCTTTTTCTTTGGGGTCTATGACATTACCACACACCTCAGAGAACCGTACCTAGTTTTCCGGGGGTTTTCTGATGGTTTTGGTATGTCTTTGTGACACATTTCTGGAATTGTTTCATGAAATTAGTGGTAGTTGAGGCTGAAAGTGGGGCTAAAAATATGGAAGCATCCAATAACAAACCCGTCCCAGTATGCTTTTTGAAGTTAAAGCGCTCTGGGGTCAGTTCGTGTTGGAGGCTATTGTTCTTGGGAAATATTGGGAAATGATCCGCACAGTCATCCAGCACAGACCACTCAAAATCTGGGACCAGGTCAGGGGTGTAGAAAGAAAGGTCGATGGATGAAGTGTTAAGGATTTGTTTCAGTAAGTTGAGGATTTGCCATTTAAAAGACAGATGTTGTTTTGAAATTAGAAAGTCTTCTATTGTTTTTTTCCTTGTTGCCAGTGGGTTTGTCTCCCCAAAGGCTGTTATGTACATCAAAATCTCCTACTAAAATAAAGGGTTTGGGTGACTTTGTGTTTGAGTTTTTAAGCTGGGTAATTTTGAGGGGGTAATTTGACGGGACATATGAAGCAGATCGTGATTGGTCTTATCAGGGTGACCCATACAGCAATAGCCTGGAGGGTTGTCTTAAGATGTACATGTGTTTGTCTGTGGAGGGTGTTGTTGTCGATGTATCGTAGATGGTGGTTCAACCAGAAGCTGTCTGGTTCTCAGTGTGTATATGATGATGACCAGTAATAGCTTTTAAGTCAATGTTTGAAGCCGGGGCGAACTTTGTCTCTTGGATACAGGCCACAAGCGGGCACAGTGTAACCTGTATGTGTTGCAATTCTAGAATGGAAGGTCGGAGTCCTCTGGCATTCCAGTGCAGGACCACCACTGGACAATTTTTAAAAGATTTGGAGCACAGAGGCCCCATCTTTTCTGAGCTCTGACTCCTCCTTGTGGACGAGGAAGAGTGTTTGCGCGGCTGCCGCCCTTGATTGGGCAGCATCCAACCGGGAGACTTGGGGAGGGAGTGACGACTTCCTTCCTTCCCGGATCGGAGGTGTCATCCTCCAAAGGGAGGGGGTATCTGGTGGAGGGTTAGGGGTAGGTAGGGTAGACGAAGGGAGTTGGAAAGAAGGGGGAGAGGCTGGATGAGGGGAAGGGGGCTCCTCACACACCATCAGAGGGGTGGGGCGTGGGGAGAGAGAAGAAGAGGGGACGGAGTAAGAGTCCACCTCGTCCTCCCCTAGAACTCTGAAACAGTTGGCGAGTGGCCCCTTGAAGGTGGTTACTACAGGGGTAGGAGGGACCTTCTTAGCTTTTATCGCAGTTTCGCCTGTTGACCACGGGCTCTTTGAGGTCGGCAGTAGAAGTACTGGCCGATCTCGAGACCGGCCGGACTGGACTGCCTTTGCGTTTAACCAGGGACCGGGGTCATAACTATCGGGTAGACAGTCTTTCGAGCCTTCTGAAATGAGCTGCCATTTTGGGCTTTGTACTCTTGGATGATACGTTCTTGGAACCAAGTGTTGGCCGTGGCAATTATGAGAGAAAGAAAGGACTAGCCTTCCATACCTTTTCAGGATGCCCGGTCTTGCCACGACGAGTACCCACGTCTGCGTGTCGGCATCACGACTGGCTACGGCAAAACTTCTGGCACTTGAAGCAGCGCAGAGGGTTTTGCACTTAGAGTTGCATGTCCAGAACCAAGTATGCTGCCCGAACAGTGGCTGGTGGGCAGCACGAATCGAAAGTCAAAACAATTGTGTTCCTTTCAAGGGCGGTCTCACCCCACCGAAGAGTCATCTGGCGGGCTTCGACCACACCCTCACAATATAGCCGCAATTTTTTATGAAAAGCAGCCTTTCACCTCATGACTGTGGACGACGCTCTTCAAGCAGTTAAACTTCTTGCGTCGCCAAGATTCACAGGAATACCACGGAAGGTCGTGAGATCAAGGGTCCAGTTATTTCTGTTTCATATGCAAGGAGTGCACCAGAAGACAGTTTTTGGACGTTGGCGGGGATGTATGCCAGTGTCTGTGTTAAAGCATCTCCTGTCATGAAAAGGGTTCGATTTGTGATCTTCTTCTGTGCATCAAAATTGCGGATGGTCAAGTATGGCTGCTCCGGAAGCTCCCTGGGAGGAGGGAGAGCACAAGCAGCAGTAAAGGTCGGTTTTCCTGGTTGTCTGCTCGGCTCGGTGGGTACACCCGCTTCTACGAGCCGAAACTTTTTAGTATCGTTGGGGACTGGGGATGGGTCAGAATGTTTTTGGGGATTCAATGTGTGTTGGAATGCTTTTCAACTCCGGGGCTCCCCTCCCACCACTGAGTGAAACAGAGGAAACATTGCTCGGATGACCAGAGCTGAGCCAGGGCTACTCCGGAGTTATACTCTCCTCGAAAGTTTACTAGACCCTCCCATCAAGATTGACCCAAGGATAAACTGGAGGGGCTTCAGCTCCCAACCGATTGAGTGGCATGGGCCGTCCCACCCTCCCGTCTAAGAGGAAAAAGTGGGTCAAAGAGGTGTGTTGGCGAGGGACAGTCCGCAGACTGATCTCACGAATAATAGAAGAAGGGGAAGGAGAAAGAAGGATGGAGAAAAGGAAAATGCACCAAAGAAGATGTTGTACATGGATCCCAGGGACAGTGGGTCTATTTATATATCCCCAACCCATGGGTGAATTAATAAACATTATAGGCACCCAAAGCCCTTAAAAACCATTTGTGCTCTGGAAGTCTCAATAATGGACCATTTGTGTACCTTTGTGCAAAAGGTCAGGAGGTCGTAAAGTCCACATAATGCAATGTCCCACTAACGTTAGTAAAAAAACATACTTGACTAAAAATTTAGGTAGCTTCTTCAAATTTGGTGGACAATGGTGTTTTTGTATAGTGGACTTACACTGCAAATATTGATTGATTTGACCCATTATTTTGGATGATATGGGGTGTCCACATAATGTAGGTTTGGGGCAATGTCCACATAATGACCTCAAAACACGTATGTGTGTGTGTGTGTGTGTGTGTGTGTGTGTGTGTGT